ACATTAGTAATTCTTTTTCTGCATAATTTTATATTATTGTTAATAATAAATTAATTAAAGCAACAAAACAACCTGAAGGCCTCACTATGTACTTAAACCCTGTGTTTTTCCCTGCCAGTTGTTGTGTTCGCCACGTTACTTGTGTCCGTCTTGTTCGTATTCTCGGTTTAGTTAACCTTCCTAGTTGAAGTTTTGTTTTTTGTAGCCAAGTTTGTTATGTCAGCAAATAAAGATGCCACTTTTGAGTTAACTATTCGGTCTCGGAGTCATGCACTTGGGTCCAGCCACTGGCAGCCACACAGCTCATCGTGACAGTGTTGCTCCTTCTTGCAAGAATAAAAAATGCTTTTTCAGTGGAATGATCGGCATCTCCAGTGTCTTTGTTTTTATTATACTCTTGTTGGCAATGGATTTAACCAGCAGAAGGCACATTATTATTATATACTTATTATCTATACATATATCTATCTATAGATATAAATTTTTAAAATCTCTCTCTCTCTCTCTCTCTCTCACACACACACAACCTCAAAAAACAAATCAGTAGAACTTTATTTAGAAAACCTTTAAAGTTTACAATTTGCATAAAAATAGGTCACTTGATACATTAATGTTCATTATCCCTGCACCGTACACAATCTATAATAACAAAAGAAGAGTAGTTAAAAAGAAAAAAATCCTCATCATTTATAAAACCAGCATGGAAAATTATTTCAATAACAAGTTACTTTTGTAATTTTTAAGTGAAGAACAGGAAATAAAATTCTAAAACTTATTTATGTGCCATCACAAAGATTCAAGCAGCAATATAGGTTAGAGAGCCATACATCCTATACACCAGCATTCTATATGTAAAACTGAAGTCTACTTCATTTTAATTATTTTATGTTATCTGACATAAAAGGATCTCTTTACAAACCACATGTTTATTATTCAGTAGAATAAGACAGGAGTATGTCTGTCTTGATACCTAACAAGAAGCCACTTGTATTTTAATAGCTTTTATTATTTTCCAGCAGTGTTATCCATCATCTTCTGCTTTTCACTGCTCTCCTGTCAAATCAGAAAACAACAGATAAAAAACACAGAGCCTTTTAGCTTCCTACAGTGCAGCTGGTCAGCATATATATACTGCTTTATCACATACTGAAATTTTCAAAAGGCTTCAGTCTCAAATGTTATGAGACTTACATGTATGAATATGATTTTTTTCTGAAAGAAGAGTTTGGAAGATTTTGATGCATGCTCAATCATCCAATTAATTACAACTTTCTCACATTTATTGGGTATGCTGTATTTACTGTGCATGACGCTGTACTCACTTTCTTAGGGTCTGGATCTTCAGCTGACGAAGATGAAGTCTCAGAAGCTTAAAAATGTGAAAAGCAAAATTATATTAGACAAAACTTCATGAGACAAAGTAAACAAAGAAAAACTTATTTTAAAGTGTGAAATACTTACAGTTGGCACGTTTAAACCCTGAAATACAAGAGACAGTATTATTTATTTATGTTTTTTTTTTTTACCAAACAATGTTGTCATCTTCAGCCAGTGGTATAAAACTTATAAATGATCATATAATATATGAAATATTTGCATTTAGGAACTTTGGTATATCTGTAAAATGTGATTTACAAGAATATTTAAACAAAAGCACACATTACATATAAAAATAAAATGAGCTTTATTGTGTAAAAGACATTTTTGTTCCTGACCATTAGTACGTCTTTTCCAGAAGAAGATTCCAAGACCAACACCGACTATCAGAAGAAGCATCACAACAACAACTCCAATAATTGTTCCAGTTGAATCTGAAGAACCTGAAACCAAAACAGGATATTTTGTTGAGTCACTGTATGGTCAGATTATGTTAAAACAACTGAAGTCCTTTTAGCATTTGAATAAAGATGAGAGAAATAAGATCAGCAAATAAAATGAACAATGAAATTTGCTTAAAGTTATTTTTCCAGAAACACTAGTGTGATAAAACATAGTCTTTTTTGTCTGGTACCTGTGTGCCCATTTTGCCTTTATAGATGCTTGCACATGTATGATCACCACCCTGAGCATTTAACTGAGTTCCTGGACAGTATGAGGTGCAACCTGGTGGCATAAGATAGACTGAAGCACGATGCCCCAAAGGTGATCAATTGAATTTAGGACAGTATGGTTGCCAATAAGTGGTATCAATTCCTTCATCCTGCAGGAACTGCCTGCATACCCTCTGCACATGAGGCCAGGCATTGAACCCAGGACCCACTGCACAACACTGCATGTTGTAACTCTGGCAGAGATCATCCTGTTCCTTCTTGTACAAAGGAGCAGATAAAAGTCCTGTTCATGGGTTAATGACCATCTATAGCCCTGTCCAACTCTCCTAGAGTAACTGCCTGTCTCTTTGAATCTCCTCCATGATCTTGTTACTGTGCTGGGAGATAAAGCAAACCTTTTGGCAATGGCACGTACTGGTGTGCCATCCTGGATGAGTTGGGCTACTTGTACAACCTCTGTGGGGTCCAGGTATCACCTCATGTTAACAGTAGTCACACTGATCATAGCCAAATGCAAAATTAGTGGAAAAACAGTCAGAAAAGATGGGGAGAAAAATGTCAATGGCCTCCACCTGTAAATCTGGGGTTGTCTCATTGTTGCTCAATTAGTGTCCCATTTGTTAAATCCATTACAACCAAAGCAGATGAAACTAATTAACAACCCTACATGAAAGAGAGGGTCTTTTTGGACAAAGTCCCAACATAATTGTTCAGGTATTTATATAGTTCATGTGTAAAAAATACATCATCCCAACACATAAAAATGAGAGGAGCTCTGGGTTAGGATAAAGAACACTTTTAAAATACTAATAATAATAATAATAATAAAATAAACTTATATATTAAAACAAAAAAATGCAGGAGCAGAAATTAGAAAACCATATTTGTCACTACAACATCAAGCACAAAGAAACCAACATGACTAAATGATCATTTGAAATTCTTCAAAACCAAAGAAAAAATAATCACTGTCATGGAAAGAAAAATGTGCATATGTACTGTTTTTCTCTTATAGCTTGCTGAATAGAAACACAGGCCAGACCAAGATTGAGTATTAATCAAGTATAAAATAAAGTTTAGTTTAAGTAAAACTTTCAAACAAAACTTTGGGATAGGGTGGGTTGAAATTTAAAATTAAACACAAGAAAGATAATAGAATTAACTGATTCTTACCTCCATCACTTCTGATGCTAGGTTTCCCCCAGTTGGTTTTGATTGCATTTTTGTCCAGTTTTGCGACGATGTCCTCATTCAGACCTGAGAGCTGAAACACACAGTCGTACCTCTGCCAGTCTTCAGATGTGACTGATGAAAAATCCAGATCAACACTCATCTGGAAGTTCCCGTCATTGTTGGTGAGGATCTCTCCTTTCTCCACACCCTCATGAAGCTCCTCTCCATCTTTCCTCCAAACCAATTCAGCTCTGTTAGGATAGAAACCTGTAGCGTGGCAGGTGACTGGAGAAGAGGGAGTCTTCTGGAGGAGAGACACTGATGGAAGAACTGAAAGAGGGAAAATGTTTAATTTATTATTATTTACTGTTCCTAGTACCATCCTTTGTATTTGTTTGTCTGTTTGTTTGTTTTGTTTTGTTGTTTGTTTGTTTTTTTGGGGGGGGAGAGAAGAGAAGCATCTCTCCATGGGGAAATGGGTGTATGATTGATAATTACTAATGTTAACTACAGTAAGGAACTAATAAAAAAATATTAAAATTGTTGCATTCATGCATTTAGCATAAAGGTTTCAGTGGTTACCTGTTCTCTGTAGAGAGCTCCTTCCATAGCTCACATACTTCTTTAGCCACTCAGGACAAAGCTGGTTGTGATAATTGTTCCAGTAGTCATTCAAAACTGTGTTTTTGTCCCACTTGTGTTTAGTGATGACAGCCTGTTGTTTTGGAGCAATCCACGTCAGAGTCTTTAGATCAAACGATATGAAGTCTTCTCCATCATAACCAAACTGATGAAATCCACTATTAACAACATTAGTCTCGTCATCCCACTCACAGCCGTACATCTTCTGAACTATGTGAACACCTAAGAGAAAGCAGAGACAAACTGCAGTGAACAATAGTAAGGATCCAACAGTCTCATATAAACAGAAAAATGCTAATTATAGCCCAGAAAAAGGTTAACTTAAGTGGTTGAGTGGGCTGTTCACTAGTTATTCAATCCCCAACATTTCAAGCCTTGATCAGCTGAGCATTTTTTTCTCCACTGTAAGCCCTGACCATTTACCATTTAACAGAGTACTCTACTGTAGGCAAAACAACTTCCTGTTAGTTCCAGGAACAGACAAACACACTAAGATGGAGTCCTGAGCAGCAGACACAGATCCTGCATTTAATTTTCCTTCCTCTGAAACTCTGTAGCCATTATCAGTCATGAAAAAATACTTGCTGTGAAAAACTACACACCAGACTGTCCAGGGTTTTCTAGAAGCTTCAACTCTAGGATTAATGTGCAGCTGCTCAGGCGATCATAGCTCAAGAGTTGGGTGTTCGTCTTGTAATCGGAAGGTTGCCGGTTCGAGCCCTGGCTCGCACAGTTTTGGTCTTTGTGTCCTTGGGCAAGACACTTCACCTACCACCTACTGGTGTTGGCCAGAGGGGCCGATGGCGCGATATGGCAGCCTTGTCTCTATCAGTCTGCCCCAGGGCAGCTGTGGCTACAACTGTAGCTGCCTCCACCAGTGTGTGAATGTGAGAGTGACTGAATAGTGGTATTGTAAAGCGCTTTGAGGGGTCCCGAAAAGCGCTATATAAATGCAATCCATTATTATTATAAGAGTCCTGTTCAGCAATGAGTTAGAACTTGTCACAATAAACCAGAGACCAGCGGGACCAGTATAGATACTCTGAGTCCTCATCTAATCTGTAGGTCTATAGGATTTATATAGAGCTTAAACATATTATAATTTATATATTTATTCTTTGTAATATTGACTTATTGTTTCAAAACAAGGCTTCTGTGTGTTTATTATGGCATAAACACACTGTAGTCCAGTGACACTGATCTAATGTGAAATTATATAACTATTTAAAGCTGAAGCTACTGATTCATGTCATTACTGATTATGTAACAAACACTCACTGAGTAATTAGTTATTTGAGTTAAAGAGGGAATAAAATGTCCCTTGGCCTCCTAAAAGCACGGTTTCTTTTTAGTGTTGACTGGTTTTGTGAAGGATGAACAAACTATGACCAGTACATTTACTATACCAAACAAATTCAGTGCTTTTGATGAGCTTTCTAAAAACTAAATAAGTTCATTAAAACCAAATTATTGTCACGGTTCTGGGTCGATGACTCAGTGTTTTGACTTTTGTACGTTTGTTTTCTTAGGATGGTTGTATGGTTTTGAGTCTCTGGTTTCCTGTTCTGTTTCCGTGTCCTTCCCTGTGTTCCACGTCTCGGTGTCCAGTCTGCACCCTGATGGGTGTTATGCTTCCCGTTTTATTTTAATAGCCCTGTCCTGTCTGCAGTGTGTCTAGTTTTACTTTTCCCTCATCTTGTTTTGCCCCATTAGTTTGAGCTGTGTTTTCACCTGTTCCCTATATCCTTGTTTTCCGTCCTGTTCATTTTAGTTCTCAGTCTTTCCCTGCTTGTTTTTGGGTTCACACCCTAATTCTGTGCTGTGTGTTTTGTCTGCCACCCTGCCTGTTTAGTTTATGGTATTTTCAGTTTAGTTATGGCATTTAGCAATAAAGCTGCTTCCAGTCTACTTTTCGTCTCTGAGAGGCTGAACTTTGGGTCCTATCTTTGTCATTTATCATTATCATTGTTATCATTTTGACCCAGCATTTTCAGTTTCTTATATTTCTTTGTATTATGGTTTGTATTTTGATGCTTTTGTTATGCTTTGTTGTTTATTAGTATAATTCAATGTTCCAGTTTATTCTGGTTTAAGGGTTTGTTCTCAGGTTTTGTGTCTTGTGTCCTCAGTAGTTTTAGTTCTGTCTCAAGTCTGCGTCTTTGTGAATTGTTTCCTGTTTTATTTTGAAGGGTTGTGTCTTATGTCAGTGTTTGTAGCTTTGGTCCCCCTGTCTCGTTAGTCCTAATCTCTCTCAGCTGTGTTTCCCTCCTGTTTCCCATTCCTAGATGACTTCCTCAGTGTATTTAAGCCCCGTGTTTCTTTGTGTCAGTCTTGCATTGTATCCTCAGATTGTGCCTGAGTGTTTGTGTTCTCAGTATCCATTGTTCAGTTCATGTTTTGTTTTCTACCAGCAATAAAGCTGAGGTTTTTGAGTTATATTCAGTCTCTGAGTCCTGCATTTGGATCCTCATGTCCGCCTGCCCGCACAGAGAGCCCTGACAATCTTGCCTGCACACAGCCTGCCCACACAATTATCTTAAAATTATGTTTGCTAATCAAGTTTTAAAACACACCAAACTAGCAGTAGGTATAAAACTACTGAACAGTGCAGTAATGTCTAAAGAATGGATCTGGTGGATTTTTTTTATTTTTTTGTTCTTCTGGATACACATGACAGTAAATATTTTTGGATTTTGGACTGTTGGTCAGAGAAAAAAAAACTGAAGAAGTCATTTTGATCTGTTCTTGATATTTACATTGTTTATTTATTTATTTTTTTTGCTTGCATGTAGTGTGACACTCAAATGCTGGCCTAAAACATCTACTGGCTCACTTTATTTTTAAATTTATATATTTCTTTGTATTTACTATATTTACTACAATCCAACGGTGGGCTGAAACAATAACTCAGACCCTGAATTTGACTCCGAGCCACTTTGGTGTTTTTCAGTGCTATGACCAGATGAGATTTTTACTCTAAAAATATTTAAACATTCACATTAATTATATTATTGGATGTATAGCGCAGAGATCTGTGAGCGTCGCTGATTCTGTGATGAGAGCAGAAAATCTACAGGTGAGGCCGACACGAGGACTCATTCCTGCTTTTATAATATTGCTGCTTTCAAAGCCACGAGAAAAGCATTCATCACAGGTATTTTCTTTATATGAACATGTAGAGTTACACGTGTGAGCCCAAAGGGCCTGCTGTGTCATAATTATGTCTGTACTGTGGATGATTTTGGAGATGAGCGTCAGTATTTTTAATTCAGCTCGTCTCATTTATTTTGTACGAGGGAAAGTTGATTAAAGTTTTTTATTTGATGATTTAGTCGCTGTGAGTTTTGTGGGTTAAAGTGAGGAAACATGTCGAGTTAAAGAGGACGTGAAACAGCACATTTTACAGCTTTGACACAAAATTAAGAGCGTTGTGATTTATTCTGAGAGAAACGTTGGATTCAAAGTGATTCTTGTTTATAGTCATTTTCCTGCTCGCTGTCATGTGGTCGTGACATCACTCATTACGTCACCAGGTCGGCTGGTTGGGCGGCGCTCCCAGGAGAGGTGAGCTCATCAAAAAAAATAAAATTGTGAAAGATGAAGCCGACAGCTGTTTTGATGCCCCGCCCACACACATTACAGCTCACGCTTTGGAGGCAGTGAGGAGGAGAGAGAGTGACCACAGGAAACAGCTCAGAGGATCAACAGGTGGAGCGAGCAGGTGAGGAGAGGGCGAGCGACACCACCTGACGCGTGCGTGGACGCTGCAGGGAGACGGCGAGCGAGTCGAGCTGCTGTCAGGAAGCTGCTGTGGATCCAGCAGGTACTGACGGTCTGACATCTGAACGTCACAAAGTCGTCTCTAACCAGTCGTCTCCTTTTCTTTATGAAGTCTGACAGAAGGTTAGAAAACGAGCAGCTGCCACCACCATGACTCAGAGGTTAACTACACCGACTAAACCTGACAAAGATCATTTATTGATCAACAGTTAGCGTCCAGTTTGTTTCTGCTCTTATTGTAGCTGCAGAATAACGATGATGCTGGACTCAGTTATGATGAAACACAATCAGGCTTCAGGCAAAAAGACACAACAGAGTCAGACTAGTTTTAGATCATCTGGATTATCCAGAGATGATGAACAGTAATGATTCATCCTGTTTTTAGACTTCAACAAAGCCTTTGATACACGGAGCATCGTTTCATCTTTCAATCTTTAAGCTAATTTAGTTTCAGTAATTATTTCTCTACATCAGTCAAAACTCTTCACACAAACAGTAACAGCTGTAATAAACTGATGGCTGCTACATCCCCGAGATTTAACCTGCATGGAGGAAGAAGACGAGGCGGCTCCGCCTCTCTGCACCTCTTCCTGTTAGTGTTTTATCAGACGTGTAAAATCAGGTGATGTAAAAGGATCTCCGTCACTGGCAGAGAGTTAATCGTAGCACAGCTGACGACACATTTAGAAAAATGAAGGTCAAGTCTGAGCTGATGCAGTGAACAGTTTCTCCAAAGCTTCCAGATTTGACCTGAATATTAATAAATGTGAACTCATCACAGATGCTCCAAATCTGACCTTTGTAATATCTCGATGAAAAAACAGCTTAAATATTTAAGAATATTAATCACTGAGGATCAAAAGAATGAATCTAAGTTTGATCCTATAGAAAGAGTTAAAAACAAATTCAGATCTTTCACTGAGAGGAAGAGTTTTGACTAAAGCAGGAATCTCTGGTGTCCCTGAGGCAGCGTTGGCTCTACGCCTCCATAATAAACTATCAAAGACACTGACAGGCTGCTCTTCAGCTTCATGAGGACAAACAGAAGACGTCACATTAGAAAAACAGCTCGTATGAACTCGATGTAAACGGTGGACTTAATGTTTCAGATTTCCACACTTTAAACAGCACATTTAAGATAAACTGGCTCAAACAGCTGATCAGAAGCCCCGCCTCCATCCTGAGCGCTACACCTGTTCATTTTCTCTCTGAGTCGCTGCATCAAGTTTTTCTCATGTGTAACTTTGTGGATAAAATCCCTGTGAACACGTCGGCCTCTCATCGCCAGGCTTCCTCGTCACAGACTCTCATCTACAAACACAGTTTGAGCCTCACAGTTATTTTATATGGAATAACAGGATATTTGTCCAAGAGGAAATCTGTTTTTCTGAATATTGGTTTGATAATATGATGATGTTGGTAAATCAGCTGTTCCACACAGA